TCCTCCATAGCAGCTGTCACATGCAACCAGGGAGATACATTCTCTGGGAAGGGGGAGAGGGTGGGGAGGGGGGACGGAGCCGGAATGAGGGAGGGAAAACTCCCGAAACGAGAAGAGCAGGGAGCGAAGCCCGAGCTAACTCCGGGGAGGATGCCTCAGCACTTTCTCTATTATGCATTTCCAGCACAAGGAAAGCTAATTCCTCCGCTGAGGGCCTCAATCAGGCATTTATTTGACACTCATGATGCATGAACGGCTAAACACTAGTCTAAGCGGAGGATCAGCCGCTGGTTTATAGCTCGCAAGGTTTTTTTTGATGCAGGTGAATTATGTTGATCTCTGAATGCCTCGTATTCCTGGTGGCGGCCGGGGGCGGGGGGGCTCGCGGGGCTGCACAAGGCTCCCATTATCCGGGGGTAATCACCCAGCCCAACACGGCCCGGCCCCTCCGGCAGCCCGGGGCAGAGCCGGCAGGAGCACAACAAACCCCTCCAGGTGCTGCCCACAGCCGGCCCCAGCGCCCCTGCCCTGTCACAGTGTCACTGCTCCGTGCCTCAGTTTCCCCCGCGTCAATCAGAGCCAGAAGGGCTCTTGGGGGACAAAGGTTTTCTTCCCCTTCAAAGGCGTTTTGCTTCCCCATTCACAGGACACCCAAAACTCACTGATTCAGGTTCAGCACACATGAGTACAGACCCAGGGGCTGCCCAAACTGCCAGAAGCTGTGACAGTGCCCTCCTCCTGCTCTCAGCCCAGAGGCTCTGAAGTTTTGCACATCCACTCGATTTCCTGCAGCACTCCTGTCCCCCGGCAGCACGGGCTGCATCCCTCGGACCCTCCCTGAGCCACTCAAGGGCTGGGCTGGGTTTCCTTGAGCCACAGCATTCCTCCTGGGAGTGCCCAAGCACCTCTCCCACCGGCAGCCCCCTGTGCTGGCCCCCAGCCCCAGCGCTGCTCCCCGGCTGGTGCCATGCAGCGGCCCTTCCCATGCCCTCCTCCTCCTCCTCCTCCTCCTCCGCATGCCTGACCAGCACCCCCACACACACAAGACTTTCCCAGCCAAACACACTCAGTGATTCATCGGAAATGATTAAGTTTTTTCCCCAGGAGATCAGTTGCTTAAAATGGCAATGCTGGGCAGCGATAAGGCTCAGAGCCCTCGTGCTGCCGCTGGGCAGGGGAGGCCTCCTCCCTTTGCTGGGAAGAACAAGTGCAAGGGAGCTGTGCTGTCATCCACAGGATGCTCAGGAGCTTCTCTCTGGCCTCACAGCCGCAGTTTTGGGATGCTCTCACACCTCATGGCAGGAACTCCCTTTCTGAGGTGGGGAAATCCACCCCGAGTGGGTGCCCGGGCTCAGAGACTCCCTGACAATGTTCTCACTCTTCCCCTCCCTCCAAAGGGCAGGATGCAGCACCGGACGAGCCTCAGGCTCTGCTTTCCTTGGAGCAGGGAAAGGGATGTTCCACTTGGCACAAAACACCCCGCAAATGCCACCCCAAGAGGGAAGGAGGCCCACGGGAAAACATCCACCAAAGTCAAACAAACAAAGCAGGAGAACTCAGCTGACACGCCCCTGGTGCATTTTGTTCTGGGGATAACTTTTATTCCACGTTAAAAATAAAGCAGAACGTTGCTAAGAAAACCTCTGCAGCACATTCCCAGCAGTTGGAAAGGGCAGTGCCACTCCCTGGGGAAAACAGGCTGGGGAGCATGCCACCCTCAGACAGCCCCCTGCTCTCACTGCATGGCTCTGCCTTCAGCCTGCTTAACTTGGAAGAAAACTCGTGCTTTTTCCGCCCCCCCCCGACAAAAGAATGGTTCTGGGGAAGAGGGGCAGGATTTGAAAGCAAGGCATGAACAGAAGGCATGAAATCACCCCGCTGCGCTGTGTGTGGCAGCCGGCGGGCTCGGGGACTCTGCGTGGGGAGCGTGGCGGGCTGGCCACCTTCATCTTCCCTCCCTGCTGCCTGATCTCACGCCTTCTTGTTTATCTGCTTGCTTAATGGATTTGGCTGCAGTCCCCACTCACAGCGATGCACACAAACTGTGGATGAGGCTCCTGTGTCGCAGTCCCACGCACACAGCTGGGCTGGGAAAGTCAGGGAGCAGAGCTCTGGCTCCACCTGAGGCACAGAGCAGCTCCCACAGCGCTCACTCCCTGGCAGTGGAGGGAACATCGGTGCCTGGGCCCCCACAGCTCCCAGCACTCTCCTTCTCCATCCCTTCTGCCACCTCTCGGATGAGGCTGTGCCCGGGCAGGCAGTTCTGCCCCTGGCAGTGCTGGGGCTTTCAGTCCCTGGCACAGCTGCTGGATCCACAGGACCCTGCCCAGGGCAGGGCTGATTTCCCAGCTTTATCTGAGCATCGCAGGTTGCAGGAATGATCTGGAAGCGTGTAATTGCATTTGCCTCCCTCCTCTGGCTCCTGCTGGGCCTGGCTCCCTGCAGCTGGAGGGGAGCGATGGCCAGCACGGAGCCAGGCCTGGGGCTGTGCGTCCCAGCACACACTGCAGCCCCTTCCACCTTTTCCTGCACTCCCAGACAGATCCCTGCTCATCTGGGGACCTTGGGATGCTGCCAGAGGGAGCTGGCCCAGCGTGGGCTGTGCCTGTGCCTGTCCTGACACGCATCCCAGGTGGGCCAGGGGGCCCTGTGCCTTCCCCAAGCCCTGCACCAAGCCCAGAGGATGGGGCTGGGGTGGGCTCGGGGGGGTGCTTGGGGTACTCTGTGCCAGTGAAACCCACAATGGGCTGGCTGGGCTCCCTGCAGCTCTCCGGGGTGGGTGGAGTGCAGCCGTGCTGGGCAGAACCTCTGGCTGTGTCCACCTGGGCCTGCACCTCTTCACACAACACCGTCAGGGCCAAGAGGGGCCCTGCTCCCCGGGGAAGGGATGGGATGTGGGCCAGCACCGAGCTTTCCCACACTGCCGGCTGCTCCGCTGCCACTGCTCCCCTCACCCTCACCTTCTGCCGCTCCCTGCTGCTGCATTTTGGGGGGGCCCTAGGGCTCACATTAGGCTTTGCACTCGGGGGTAAGTACAGGAACCCTGCCCAGCCTTTGGCTCTCCGCTGTCTGGGTGCCACGAGGTCACTTTGGGGTACCCCTGCTCCATCTGGGTTCGCCTCTGGGAGCCCTCTTCGAGGCCTGTGTCTTCCAACTCAGGAAAACGCCTCCTTCCAACCCCCTTCCTCGGCTTGGCTCCCAGTGGCTCCTTTGTGTCTCCCCTCTCCTTCCTCTCCTCGTGCAGGGCCTTTCTGTGGGGATTATTAACCATGGCTACGGGGCCTTTGTTCAGGAGGGGCCCGCGAGGAGCCGCGAGGGTGGAGGAAGGAAGGACAGGAGCGGAACGGGGGAAGGAAGGTGGGGGGGGGAAAGGAAGGTGACATCTGGATCTCTGTCACAGAGGACTGCGATTTTTGGAGCAGCTGTGCGGGGATGGCTGGGGCTCAGCGGATGCAGAGCGGTGGCAAAGCCCCAAAAGGGAGCTGAGCTGGCAAAGGTCACCCAGCCCAACGTTGAGAGCTCAGCATCCTGCCCTGGTGATGGTGCTGCTGGCAGAGGACAGAAGCAGCTCCCCAGGGCTCCAGGACTGGCTTTGAGGGCTGGTTTGTGGTGAGCAGGGGTGGTAGGGAAGGCTGTGGAGCCGTGCAGCCCTTCCCTTGCTCCCTGCCTCAGGAGCTGCGTGCGGGGCAGATGGACAAGGACAGCTGGAGCACGCCTGGGAGAACCTTATCCAGCTGAGAGCCACTGCCAAAGCACGGGGACAAGGAGCCCTCTGCTCAGGGCTGCCACTCGACATCCTGGGGTTACAGGAGCCCCACGGGCCAGAGCAGGTGCAGCCCTGGGACAGGGTGTGACAGCCACGTCGTGCCCTTGCTCACACACGTTCAGCGGGGCTGGTGACGTCCGTGCCCCAGGCTCCTCTCCTAGCCTGGGAGCACTGCAGGCACGGAGCAAGGGGCAGGATTTGGGGATGGGCGCTGATGGGGTGGCCAGGGGAAGCCAGGAGCTATTTATAAACCATCCTTTTCCTTGGGAGCACTTCCGAGTCCATCTCCCCCAGTGCCGGCCGGAAAAAAGGCCCATTGTGCTGGCGCCAGCCGGGACAGGGCCGGGCACTCGCCCACACAATGGGGCAGACGATGGGGCTGGCTGTGGGCTTGGGCTGCCCAGGGGACAGCGAGAGGTCCTGACCACGCTCATCCAGCACTTGCCAACGCCACAGCTGCCCGGAGGAGTGGGCAGGAGGAACGGCCCTGCCCTGCGCTCCCTGGCACCTGGCTTTTCCGGCTCTCTGCTGCCAAGGAAGGAGGAGAAGCCAGGATGGGGACACAGCATCACACCCTCGGCTTGCCTGCAGGGATCTCTTCTTCCCGGCTTTGTCTGCAGGGCTCCCCCAGGACGACTCATCAGGATCATCTGTGAGAAAGCCTAATGAGAGATTAGCTCAGAGCAGGCCAAGTTTTGGGGGAGCCCCTCTTGCAGGGGATCCCTTTGGATGTCCTCAGGGAAGGTTCCCTGTGGAGAGGGGTGGGGACAGCCAAGGACTGACTGGGATAAGGCAGCAAGCAGGACACAGTCCTTGTGTCACATCCCCACAGCACTGGGGACACAATGGAGCACCAGGGCCCTGGGGAACGGTGGGGCTGCAGGAATTTCTTCTTGCAGGACTTTCCCATGGAAGAGAACTCGCCTTTCCCAGGGCTGTCTGGCCAGGCTCCAGGAGGAGATAGATATCCCAGCTCCCATCATGGAGAGACACAGAGCCCTCCACAAACACGGCGAGCAGCCCTCGTGCTCCTGCTCTTGCACAGGGTTGCAGGGTGAGCCAAGGCAGGGAAGCTTGTGGCTGCTGGGGACACAGGGCTGGGCTCCCTGCAGCTCCAGATCCTTCCTGAGGGCTCTCCCCAGCAGCCTGAGGCTGTTCCCTGCCCACTGCTGTGGGGGACTCCATCACCTGCCCCTCCAAGGCTAGAGGAAGAGAGAGCCACAGCGTCCTGGAGCGGAGCCCGAGTGGGGCCGGGGGATTTTCCGGAGCGGATGCAGCGAAATGAGCCATTGTTCCTGGCTGGGCTGTGAGCATGAGGCTGCAGGCACCCGCCTCTGGCTGCCCAGGGCTGGGCAGGGGTGTCCTGAGGGGACCCGAGGTGAGACTGCTGGCAGTGCCCAGCAGGACCGTGTGCTGCCTGCCTTGGCCTGGCTGTCGGGGCTGCCACACGCCCTGCAGCTGCAGGGGAGGGCACCCTGGGGACGGTCCCCACTGCTCGGGCAGCTGGGAGCACACTGGGAGCGCTGGAGTGATGCCAGCAGGACCCACACTCCAGAAATTCCCGCAGGATGTGCCCAAGGAACAAGGGAGGCATGGCAAGATGCTGGGGCTGGGCAATCCCCCCAGGCACTGGCACACAGAGCCCTGGAGCTGTTCCCTGTCTTCCTCTGCTTCCAGATAAATCCAGAGGGATTCAGCGTCTGCGATGGCTGAGGCACTCCCTGGAGCTGGAATCCTCTGCCCGCTGTTTTTCTGGAATGAGAGGTGAGCTCAGCAGCGGGAAGGCAGCTCGGAGCCTTCAGAGTGATGCAGCAGCCCCGTGGCCAGGCTCGGTGCCAGCACAGTCGGTGCTGCACAGCCCCGGGTGTCCAGGCAGGGCAGGGCTGCAGGAGTCACCCACGTGCCAGGCTCTGCACTCTCAGGGTCAGCTCTGGTGGTCCCAGAGAGCAGCAGGGTTCTGTCTGCCCTGTGCTCAGTGAGGCTGATGAGGGGAGAGGGCTCACAAGCATGGCACACCTTGTCGTGCTGCCAGCAGCTGCCACGGGCACAGCTGGGACTGCGGTGGCATCAAGCCAGACCTCCAGCAAGTGCATGAACACCTGGAGGGACTGTCCTTGCAAGGAGGGGTCCCACGCACAGCCTGGCTGCCAGGCACCTTCGTGGGAAGCTCTGTGTCCCTGCAGAGCCCCGGGAGGGGTTTCCATCCAAAGCCCCACTCTACTCCAACCAAATCACTGTCCCAACCTCATCTGCTACCAGGTGTTCCCAGCCCCCTGCACCCCTCCTCGTCCCTGTGCTTCTCTCCTGCAGGTCTGGACGCCCTGGAGCTGGACATCCTACCGGAATGAGAGTGACAGAGTTCCCCTCCAT